TTTTTTTAACTTCTCACGTTTCTGTAAAACTATTTTCGGGACTCAAAAGTAGCCCTTGATTTGTCCCCGATCTGTTCGGTTGGAACAGCCGTAACAGCGTAAACCATAAGCATCATTGCTGCACTATTGAACCTGTATTCAGTTACCTGCCCTCCATCTGGGAAGCACGCCGATGTGTGACGTCATCTGCAAAAAACCTAGTCTATGGTAAGGCTACAAATTGGACAAAATTACGTTAAAAAAAGAGGGTAGTCACGTGACCCAAAACATACAGGAAGCGATCCACAAATGTGCAAAAGTAATTTCACATGTACAAATGGATCCACAAATGCGTATGTATGTATGCGTATGCGTATGCGTATTTACAAATTTTCCCCTGGGGATGAATAAAGTATATATCTATCTATCTATAAACCACTTAACATTTGTATGCATAATTTAAATATGTATTTACAGAGTAAATTATGCATATTTTCAAATCGCTCTGTATTTGTATGTATATAACGTTACACAAATGAAAAAATACACCTTTGTGGATATTTAAATATTTGTTGATCATACTACATATTTGTGGATTTTATTCTGTGCTACAAATATTACAGTCCAATTAGAAATAATATATTTTTCTGACCTGACATTGTTGAGATTGAGATCTTTGCTGTTTGGTCCACTCTACTCGACATTTAAGTCAAAACCTTTCAAATTTTCTTTTTTAACATGTGTATAAACAATCATTTCTAAACGATATATATAAAAAAGTGACAATTGTTTTGATAAAATGTTATATATGAATTATACAAATTGCACATTTTACAACACATCACATTAAGAATTTCTTCCTCATGGGACTTATTCAAAGCAGTGGTTGTGACTCATGGCAGAGGGACACGTTTTAAACTACAATTACTGGTTTGCGGATATATGCCTCAGCCAACCACTCATGTTGGCGTTTACATCCATGTCTGTCTAAAATGTCATCACTTCATCGTTTTATCCTTTTAGACATCTGAGATAAATTATCATAATTAGCAAATCAATTTCTGAGTCATTGCCACTAACATGTTTTGTAAGGTCACAGTGAACTTTGATCACCACATTCTGATTAGTTCATCCTTGAGTCCAGATAGACATTTGTGCCAAATTTGAAGAAATTTCGTCCAGACCGGACGACAACACAAAAACCACAAAGCCTCGGGCCACAGTTGGTGCTGCTGCAGAGGCATAAAAATGACAGACCACATGCTCTGCTTGTCTTTTTGTCAATACTGTAACCTGCTAAAACTGACATGACTGCACTAGACATCTGACCTACACATGATAAGCATCAGTCTTGTTGTCATCTGAGTGGTTAAAGATCATGGTGAAGTAAAAACAGGCAAGACACGGAGTACCAATCTATTTAATTTTTTATTTAACAATGCATGCCAGACATGATCCTATTCACATTGAAGAATACAGATTTGTATTTGCATCCAAATACTCACTACTTTGATTTCATATTATAATCTCTCTCTCTATCGTTCTTTCGATCATCTTTACAGGTCGTCTCTGTACACTCTGAGTGGAAGAACTGCATGCATTTGAAGGACATTAAATAAAGTGTGACCAGTAGGGGGATAAGTCCCTTTTAATTGTAGAAGCACATCAGCAATTATTGCAGAAAAAACGTGCGTGAAACTGTCTTTAGCTTACGAGTCATAATGATTAACCTTCTAACTTAACACCAGGCCTTGGTATGTAGTTGACAGGTAAGGGATTGGACAGTCTTTTACCAATGTAAAGGTAAAAGAATGTCCAATCATAGTCATAGGAGGGAAGCAGATCTGTTGATTACCATCATATGCTCATGAGATACAGTATAGCAAAATATTTAAAAAATACTGTACACTGAGACTATGTTGTGTTGTGTTGTGATGCCTCCCTGTTACTGGTGTCATTTATATCTCCAGGTTCACGCGCAGGTAATGTACAAGCACGCAAACACCAACACATGCACACACCTCCTATCAACCTCCCAGCCATGCCAACATACCATAAAACGAATAATAGTACCATGTGCACACAAGTTTAGTAGTGCCATGAAAGGATATGTTGTCTCGTATTCCTTACTGCAAGGACAAAGACATTTAAAAATAATATTTTGATTCCGTATCACAGTAGGTCAAATAGGAGGGCCTACACTTTTCAGTCTGCCGCAGTCTGTTTTCATCGTTAGCCATGTATAACTGAGTTGAGCTGTACAACTGTCTGTGGAGCGCGACTCAGCTCGTTTCCATTTGGTTTGGCAAAGTTTGGTTTGTTTCAGCTTGTGAGGGACCAAAGCCCTCTCTAACGATATGCAAATCTATAGTTGTTCGGATTTTTAGGAACTTAAACTCCTGTGAGTGAACAAAGTTAGTCGATATAGCATGAAGGCATTCCTTCATGTTGTATTGCCATTTCTGAAGACATAAGACACAACAAATATTGATGTCCCGAAGACGTAAAGCACAGTGATTATATAAGAAGCTTTCTGCTGCAGACAAATCCAAATCTCTCTATTTCTCTTTTTGTTTCCATCTTTCATTCCAGCATGATAATCTTACTACCTTGCATCACTGGGGTAATGTTGTCCCTGAGCATTGACTTGGGGTCAATCTTTCACCTCTTAAACATACTGCATACTATGTATTTGTTGAGGAAATTGCTAATCTTATCCTGTGTATGTACCGACGGACCACAACATCCCATTTGCCATCTTATAGGTATTTCAAGTGTGTTACTCCCCGATCTGTCCAACCCACATGAATGTAATTTATGTGGGTGTTGTAATTGCTGGGTTAAAGGGGCACTCCACCAATTTGACAAATAAAGGTCAGTTTACTGGTCATGGAGGTTTACCGTTCAGCCTATGAACACAGTGTGTATGTCGTTTGTAGCTCTAAAGGGAGCTTTCTGAAGTCTAAGAAAATAACTCTGACGATGTCATCGGCGTTATGTTCAGTCAAGCTTGACACATACCAAATATTTCACAGACAACTTGTGTTATTAAATGGGAGCAAGGTGTTTGAAAGATGAGATGATTTAACAGTCACGGAAGGTCTGTCAAAAGATGCTTTTGAGTTGCACCATGGGAATTGTAGGATTAAGTGTTTTTGAAACTTGATCCATACTGCGGACTAAACGTCCGTTTCTAGAAGGTCCCCCAACTGTGAGCAGGTGCAGTGCTAAATCACTGGAGTACCCCTTTTAAGGTTTAGGGTTTGGTTCAGCATTAGTAGGCGTATGAACAGTGTGGATCATCAAACAGATTTGGTTATAATACAGAGATAAGTCAAATTATACAAATTCATGCTATATTCAAACCCTTATGTCTCAGATTTATGTGCAAATATACTTTTTTCTTCAGCTATGAAACTATAATTCTCAACGATATGTTTTTATGTTTTTCAGTGGATTTAAACGTCCACACAAGCAATGGTACAGTCTATCAATATCAACATTCCCCCCAATCTGTACATCAGATGTGTTTAAAGAGAGCAACAAAGGTCTACGAGTGGATTTAAAAGCCAAAATAATCACAGATATTAGGGGCTAGATTAGATTTCTGATTCACTTCAGTCCCCACATAGTCCATCCATGCCCAAAAGGCACCCTACGTTTGGTATACTGGCAACTGTGTATTGCCATGTCAACTTTACATTAGAAAAGCTGCTTGATAAAACATACAATAAAACTACTTTAAACAATTTAAATATGATTTAGATTTACAGTATATCTGACAATTCGATATTTAATAAATAATATAATACATCAGCATTTAGTGCATGTCGATGGTCATCTTTTTATTAAATTTAAAAGCTTAATTAGAAAATACTTAAAATTTGACAAAAATATCACTGAGAAGATATAAATATTGATTTTGTAGTTCAAACAGGCATTTACTGTAATCATCATCAATGAGCAAGAAAATGTCAATAAATAGAATCAATCTCAAAATATATTCAACATGATTAAACTGAAATGTAATAGTGAGGAAATATAAAACAAACATAAAAAAAATCCGTAAGAATTCTATTCATTTCACTTTTCTTAAAAAGCCAACAGAGAAGGGCATCTTCCTCCTCCGGGACTTTTTCCATTACAATAAAAAAAAATGAGAACTTTCTAAAACACTGATCTGGCTTTCATCTTTTAATAATAATATACCTATGTGTCCTCCTCCATGTCACTTAAAATGCACATCTTTCTTATATTTCAACTAGAATGCATATACTTAACAGCTTATTTCAAGCTTCTTTTTTTTGTTAAAGATAAATTCGTAAATTAGCTCTTTCTTTAGGAACTCTTCTTGACCTGTATACAATTTATAATGGGCTCAATCATCAGGATTTCTATTACAGTCTCCTTTTGCAGTGTCTGGATTCAAATGCAATCAATAAAATAAAGGAGAAAATCAAATGAATGACAGATATGGAGAACATGAAGGACGGATCCATTAGGTGTAGGTGGATGTAAAACCATTGCAACATAATGCCACTGTCAAAACCTGAAGGAGGAGGGCTGGGCTACAATAGAGCAATGATCTGTTGAGTGTAAGGATTTTTGGTGTCAGGTGCAGGCAAAGAAGGTTCACCCAGCAAGCATTGCTTCTGAAATAGGCTCATAGCGCCCTCTTGTCCCCATTTTTTTTTTTTTTGCAATTGCACTTGTTAAAGCTCTCAGGGATCAGGACTGAACTAGAGTGTATGTTCTAGTGTCATGTAAGATTTCACTGACTGTGTGTGTGTGTGTATGTGTCAACATGTAAATATGCTCGTTGCTGCCCCGAACATCAGTTGTAAAACACTGGACGCTGTCACCGGCTAATCTCAGTCTTCCTGTCACATTCTTTCTCACTTTTTCCTGATAGTTCTACCTTTTCACTCTTATCACATGGCTAATAAAACCCAGTTTTTATTGCAGGTATAGACTGCTGACACTTGACAGCCTGAAGACTTGTGATCGGTTCATGACCTTCTGACTGGAGTGTGTTCAAACACGGCTTTCTTTTTCTAGCTAGACTGACAAAAGAAACAGTTTGGTTGATAGATTGTGCTACAAAACGCAAAACAATGAAAGGCAAATTTGATATACCTTTTGAAAAAAGAAATAAATATATTGATTATTTGAAAGGTGTATTTGTGTATCTAGAGGTAAGTTGTTGCCATGTTACAGCAATCATTTCCAGCGCATCCCAGAGAAGAAACAGTTCTCGATGGTTGAAAACACTTCACCGATTCTTTTATGAAGCAGCCAAAAATGTTAGCTAGTTGGCTTGTGCTGGGGTCGTACAGAGTGGAGTTAGGATAGTATGAAGAGAGGATGATGTATTTAAAGCGAAGGTTTTGCGACTCCGTGCCAAGACAAAGCGACAAACTGAGGTGGCTGTTTTTTCTTTTTTCTTCTCCTCTCTCTTTGTTTCTCACACTTGACAGTTTCTACCATATAATGCAGCTAGGAGTAACAGTATACTTTCTCTGACTTACGTGATTGATATGTGATGTAACACAGTGATGTGATGTCTACGTGACGTAAAGGTGGGTGGTGGGTTGAAGACATACAGTACAAATACACCTTCCATTGCCATAACACCCCACTGAGAGTTACTTAGCTACAGGAGGAGGTAAAAACTACTCTAGATTCATAGCTCTTTGTTTTTGACTGGTGTACAGGAGGACGCCTACATCTTCCATCCTGTTCCACCTGACACCTAATCCAGGGTAAAGTTGCCCTCCAGCACTGACTATGATTACACTTTTACCACCTTTTCTAACCTAAAACGTAAGTGAGAAAACAGTAGATCTGGTCCAGATCAGCATCTATGGGCAACTTCACCCTGCTTTCACTTTTGCCCTTTCAGCTTTCCTCCCTGGTCCTATCAGTGTGTGAGTGTGCCGACCAGTGTTCTTGTCACGTGTAGTTTTGTCTATCAAAGCTGCGGAATGCTGACGGAGTGGCCAGCTTTCTCATTGAGAGGCTGTCAGTCTTGGCTGTGTCAGGCCGTGCGCTAGACTTGCTCCTGAGGAAGGGGTTTCTGGTTCCTGCCAGACCCCGGCCCCCTGGCCCAGGCCCCATGTCTGCCCCCAGACCCGGTCCCCTCTCCATCCTTTCACTCACCGACAGGCTCTTCCGGTGCGGAGGGGCCAGCGTGAGGGAAGGATGGGAGTCATCTGAGGAGCAGCTGTTTGCTCGCTCCAGCCTGGAGAAGGGAGAGCAGAGAGGGGCCCCACTGGGCCCACCTAGGCCTCCCAGGCGAGGGGTATCAGGGTCTGGAATCAGGTCGTCGGGGTCCTCTGGATCAGACTCTGTGTGGCTAAGCTCTGCCTCTCTCTCTGGATGAGAGGAAGCAATCTCTGACGGCTTATCAAAAGGGAATGAGGTGGATCCTCCGGGGGAGTGTGAGCGTTCTGCAGGAGTGTACGGAGCTGAGACACAGCGTGTGTCGATGCAGTCAGTGATGCTGGTGTACTCTGCAGCTTTTACCTGGACTCCTGCCCCCAGTCCACTGTAGGAGCCTCTTGGTGTGAACATGAGGCTGTGTGACTTAACCAGAGGGGGCTCATCCAGGAATGCTGTGCCTGTCGTAGAGAGGTAGCGGGTGCTCTTAGAGCGCTCGAGCAGCCCTGCTGAGGGAGGTGGGGATGGATCCATGTCCCAAGGAGGTAAAGTGGTGTCTGGTAAGAGGTGGCCCGAGCACAAGGACAAATCAGCAGCTGCACTGTCGTCAAACATGGCTCCAGCTGTTCCGCTGCTGCCTAAACCGCCCTCCGAGTGCCTATCGCCCATACCGCTGGTGGCAGCGCTGCCGAAGTCCCGGCCTCCCGGCAGCACCGTCTCCATGATATCTGACTGCAGCGAGCAGTCTCTGTTGAGCGGCGGGACCATTCGGAGAGGATTCAGAAAGACCTCCGCAGGCCCTACCTCCTCAGAAGTTGAGACATAGATATCAATGCATGATGATGGACGGTGTTGCTGGGAGACCGACAGCGTCGCCAGGGGGAGGGGCTTAGACTCCTTGGTGGCGGCACTTGAGGACACTGATTGTGAGCTGTTGGCTCGATGGAGACTGAGCGAGCGTTCTTTGAAGAAGCTCTCAGCTCGTTCAGCTCCACTTGGACGTTCACTACCTCGACCGACATAAAATGAGTGACTCCTTGTCCGTGCAGCCATGCCTGTAGGAGAAGGAGGGGACATGGAGCCCTCAGCTGCTCCCTCCAGCGCCTCCTGCAGACGGTAGGTATTCCCTTCTGTGCTGTTAAAGCTGCTTTGACGGAGGATGTATGCTGCTTCGGGGCACTCACCATGGCGGAGTATATACGCAGAGTCTGTGCAGTCAGATGAAGTCCTGGAACGTACTTTGCTGACCTCCCCACGCTCAACGCCTGTCACACGCTCCAGCGCTACAGCAATTCGTCCAATCAGCTCCTCCATTTGGGCCAAACGAATGTCAACGGTCTGCAGCGAGGCCTTCATGAAGTGCTCCCTTTCATTGACTTCCTCCAGACGCATTGCCATATTTTCCACCCTGGTGGAGTAGAGCAGAAAGAAAATAAGACGTTATAAGCACTGGAGGGAGCGGAGTAAACAGGGATAATGGTGGGGAAAAAAGCATTTTTTTTTGTATCTTAGTTCCATTGTGCTGTGTGCATATTGCAGGATGTATATTTGCTTTTGTTTGAAATGTGCACTATAACATCTGTAGGCCAGGTTTCAGTTTCTTCACATCCTCTATCAACTGGCAGACAGCACATTGGACTTATTTGTAAACCAATTTGCCATAGGCTGGAGGTTTAAGGTAGAATGCAGAGAGAGGTTTTCTGTGCAGCCATGTGTCCGACCTTTCAGAAGTGACTCTGATCCTCTCATCGTTAGAGGAGTGAAATCGGTCATCTTTCTCTCTGAAGTACTCTTCTATGCACTGCTCCTCAAAGTCGTGGACTTTCTTCAGCTCATCCTCTGTGATGAAAAGTTCTGTGGATGAGGAAGTGATAATGCTTCAGTATCATATCATTTTTTTTATCACAGTATAATAATATCTAAAGTTCAATCAAAAATATATATAGTTGCCAGTGTTGCAGCGCTAAATGTTTATTGCTAATGTTTATTGCCACTCACTCAGTCCATAGTCCCTCTCGTCATCGTCATGCTTGCGCCAGCGACAACACAGATGCTTAAGGACCATAGTTATGTGACTGAAGATGATGAGGGGTGGAGGAAGGACCGGGCGCTCATGGAAGGTCATAATGAGCTGGTAGCGCTGGAATTTCCAAACCTGGTTGGAGATGGACTTCACCTCGAAGAATGTATTGCTATGATGATGGACGACACACAGAAATACAACACCAACCAAGAAATGTCAAATCCACTGAAAGCTAAAATTAACTAAATCAAGTCATCAGTGGCACAACAAAGATCACAACCAGGACAGATAGTATACAGCTTGATTGGTCGACTCCTTCACTTAGCATGCTACTGGACTGCAGAGACAAGTTTGGACACAGAGAATATTTGGAGATAGAAAAAAATGTGACAGCCAACACAATAAATGTCTGCCCAATGTGTAATGAGATTAAACCTTAAATTTAACAATTGTTTTCTCCCCATTGTGCACTTTTTGGTAATTACCCTGACAAATGTGTAGAAAAGGATGATTATTCTTTCAACATGGATTATTCAGAGGCACAATAACAGATCATTAGCATGATAATGTCTCTGCAAACGAAGCACCATCCCATTCTGTTAATACAATTTGCTACCAGCCTCAAATGACTGTGGTTAAACAGCAGCTCAAATACAAATTACTGTCAATTTTATTTCACTCACACACACACACATGCACACACACACACACACACACACACACACGCACACACGCACACACACACACACACACACACACACACTCAAATGAAGTCTAAAAGACACTTCGCCCATGTCTATTTTGTTTAAAACAGTATTAGTTTGATACTTCTATGAGTAAAATCCATGTCTCATTAATGTTATTTCTATCATCATGCAGCCAAAGTAAGTAATGATTGTTTACGTACTTGAACACAGCTATGAGTAGGTTGACGAGCAGTATGTTGGCCACCAGCAGGTAGCAGGCCATGATGGCTGGGACAATCCAGGCACCAGTCTTACAGGGAGGCAGGGCCACCACCCCCCCATCCTCTGTAGTGATGTTCTGCCCACAGGGGGCTGCACAACGCCACAAAACAAATACACACACATAAGTTAATGCAAGGTAAACTATGACATAGAGACTTGAAGCCATCATGAAAATTTCCGTAGAAATTTGTATATGCACAACAAATTAGAAAGACATGCTGAGACGCAACATAAACTAAAGACAAATTATATAGTAAAAAAAACAACTTACTTTAGCAAATTAAAATAAAGAAAACATAATACATTCAAGCACATACTGCACAATACCTTACAAGACAATAATAAAAAAAACAAAGAGACAAGTAAACCTAAAATACCAAATAAAATGCAGAATATTTTGCAAAAAAAACAAGAAGCATAATTTGTCTTTATGCTTCTAATAGAGGGGACTGGAAACTATAATGGTAGAGGCTAATGTTTGAAAATGTGCATCTGAAAATAAAATACACACCAAAACAATGCATTAATCATGTCTCATCACAAGTTGTGTTGCCAATATATTCAAACATGCAGGAGATGTTTAAAATATATTGTCACATATGTGTGCCATAGCTTCATTCCGTAATGGTTGATTGTTTTGAATCGATGTATTTAAGGTACACAGTATGTTTTTTCCATCTGTGATGGTTCAGTTGCTGTGGCTTATCTGGGGAACATTCAGCATTTGTTCTTGGTTTGTTTGCCTTTGAGATTCATTCTAGTCATGCTCATCATTGCTTGATGTTCAATTGTTTCACACAATGCAGCCCAAAGACAGAGAACTGAAGTAATTTGTTTCTATAATTCAAATTTTCACCCTCAAAAATTTGGATAAAAAACTCTGACAACTGAACCACGTGAAAAAACAGATTACAGATGATGAAAGGTGGCTGATTGATATATTATGGTCTATGTGTGTGTGTGTGTGTGTGTTTTATATGTTCATGGTGTGGTATTCATATGTAAATGTCAATGTTCTTATTAAATGTTGCCTATATTAGTATAAATATTTTTGCAATGTTGTAATTTCTCCAGTGAGAAGCTGAGCCAGCATAAAAAGGGGGAGGGTGATATGGTTTATGTGACAGACGGCGTTAACATGGCAGGGTCACTTCTTCAAATGAAACTAATTGAAAGTCAAGGCAACAAAATGAGTGGAAGAAAGATCAAGGGAATATCATACTTTCCTCTTGATGTAATAACTGACCAAAAACAAAGAGTATAAAATATTAGAACACATTTGAAAAGTGCTATTGCCACGAAACAGTGCCATTTGTCAGCCAGTGCCAAAATTAGTAAGGGTAAAGTTGCTTACAAAGCATAGCCTTACGTCAAGCTACTAGTTAGTCAATCCAAGATTTGGAGAGGAAAGGCAGCCTCATTCATACACTTTAAATTTTCTTAAACAAGCTTCTGGTATTTAAATAATATGCTGTTTAGATTTAGTAGCTGACCCAAGATACCAAACACATGAGGGCAACTTTAACCTCAGAGCATGTGGAGCCGCATGCACACTTTTGTCTCAAGTGGCCTCTAGTGGTAGGAGTGGGCATGACATGGTGGTAACGTGAGGATGATGAAGGAGAGGTGGGTTAGGTAGATGTGATTAAATTGAGGTTTATATCTATTGATTTACTGGGGGTTTGACTGCATTGGGCATTGTGGGATGGAGCACTACTACGCCAGGTTCCGTAAGTTCGTAAGTAATTGTCGGCCAGCCAGAGTTTGTCATTCACCCTTTGCCTTAACTTCCTACTATCTGAAACAAAGAATGAAAACATTATTTCAGATCTCTTCTCTTTGGGCCACTCCTCACATTCTGTACACACCATCATATATACAACCGTACAAAAAGACAACAGAACAGCACGCAAACGCACTCTCACTCTCAAGACATCTTCTCACAGACACTTTATTGAGTCAAATGTCACTTTGTCTACATGATATAAAATAATGTAGAGACAAAAACGATCAGGCCAAACACAATAAAAAGTGATGCCCTCATGTAAGAAGTTCAGCAACTTGACAAAACAATTCCGCCGATATGGTGTAAATATGTCAAGTATTTCCCAGTTCCGAATGTGATGTTATTTGTCTTGTAGTACAGTATTTTAATATGTGTTATAAAAGGAAAACTTCTGGTAATATGCTAACGATGGTGTGTATTTGGTCACATTGCTTACATCTCTCTTCAGAGTCAGCAGCTATTTTCCCCTGAATTAACAAAAGTGAAGTTTATTGAAAAGCTCTGACACTCTGGCCCTAAACTTACGGTCAATCTGGTCGGCAAACACCTCTCCGTAGATCATCCAGTAAGGCATGAAGAAGATGTTCCTAGCTAGCATCCAGGATGGGTCTTCATTAGGGTTGAGGATGGCCTGACGCGCCACCCCAAAACTCATCAGCACCACCAACATGATGATCACAAAATACATCATGTCGATCATCTGACAGAGGGAGGGGGGGGTAGAGGAGGACCGTCAAAGAGAGAAGGGAAAGAGTGAGTGGTTTAAGAAGAGAAACACATGGGGAGCAAAGTGAAGAGAGCAGTCCACTAGCCTCTGTTACATTATCCGTAATATATTTTTGGATTAAATGTGATATGCATTGTCTTTCAAAAAGCTGATACACATCTAATAAATAGTCACACTTGCAGGCCAAATTATCACTTTATTCAAATCACGAGGTGCACACGAATTTGGCAGAATAACAGCATTGTGATACTTCAGACTTTGAAAAGTATGGCGGTATTTCATTTTACATTTACATTTACATTGTCCTCTGAACTGCCCTATTTCAAATCTGTTTTTGGTACTGCGTATCACATATGCCAAATACCCGACTAAGTCATTGAATCCAAAACCACCCACCTCCATTAACCGTCCACCCCAGCCCAACCCCCTCATCTTTAGCTGATTTTCATATCAAAAAGGCATTTGTGTTCTGTAGCGCACAGCCAATGTCAAACACAGTTGATCATCAGACACATTTGAGCCTTTGATCCCTACTCTAGTTTTGTCCTCATGTTTGCATCAGAGGCTCTGATCTTGTGCTCTTTGAGATCAGACAATGAGGTTTAGAGGCACATAAGCTCTATTAGGACCAAGCCTGTACACCACATACAAATTAAACCCTTGCAATCATGGGACTCAGTGAACTCTTATAATTAGTATGGATCATGCAGAGTAGTGGTCAGAAAGTAGAAAAATCTGACATAAATGAAGAACACATAATGGGGAAAGGAGAAATGAGAAATGCTGGAGATAGAAAAGACAGACAGACAGACACACACACACACACACACACACACACACACACACACAATACGCCACCCCTGCCTCCTCTCACCATCTTGCCAATCATCATCACATAGGGACCCAGGTACTTGTTGACCCCAAAGATGTCCAGCAGCCGGATGTACCAATAGATGATGTTGACGCAATAGATGACCCGCCCGTAGCTCATAAGCGGCGGCTCCTGGAGACGCAGAACCATGCCGATGGAGAATATGAGAATGGCCATGAGGTCTGTGATGTTCCAGTACTCCTGAAGCCACACCTTCACCTTCTGTAACAACTTCCCCGGCTCTGACATCAGGATCTGGGAGAGGGTTGGAGGGAAATTGTTTGAGAAACGAGAGCAAGATGAGGATGCTCGCATACAGGAACGATGAAAGGTGTGTTCATAAACCAGAAATTGAAGTGAGCCCCAAAAGTGATTGAAATAGAAGCATAGAAATACAATACATCATGTCCACCATAGGAGGGCAGTATAAGTTCACCTATCAGGGCATCTAGCAGATGTCTGAGGAGGCATTGTCGTGCAGCTGAGAATGATGTGCCATAATGATTAATGCATTTGATACACTTACAGTACACACACAGCCACAGAGTGAGGCTGAACTGGTCCCATATGGCCACATACCTGTATTTTCTATTTACTGTTTTTTTGGGGGGGGGTTTCCCATCTGTGTGTCTTGCCTTCATTTCGACCCCCCTTCCTTCTCTCTCCCCGTGACTCTTTCTTTTGCTTCCTCTTCAATGGTTGCAACACAGTTTTCCCTATTAATCATGAGCTGTTTGATGGCATGGACATGATGCTTAGTCTCTCCACCACAAAACTCACTGAATTTAAGCGTAGGCGACATTATGGTGACAAGCTTTGTGTCTACAGTTCACTAGGTAGTTAGTGGTGAAGAACTGATTCGTGTGTTATGGATGCTGGTGCACAGGATCTGTTGTACCTCTCTCATTTTCTCAATGCCGTTGGTGAAGATGTAAGCGATGACGATCCACTCTTGAGGACAGGGCCACAGGTCCATCTTTACCAGGACAATGTAGTTGAACAACATCAGGTAGCCCACGTAGGCCAACTATGTAAAAACAACACAGCAGAGGGAAATCAGCAGGGACACATTCATGGCTATGCGCTGGTGTTTCTGGCTTTTCCCACAATGGCAAACTGTACATCAATAAAGTTCAGAGAAATAAACTGACTTGAATGGCTTTTGTGTGCAACTGCTGACATTAAATGGTTATTTATTAAATGATTGACCCTCATTATACCTCTCTTTAATGCGTTATTTTCAGATGTGATGATAGAGATTTGATGTCAAGACGCCTGATTGCTATACCTCCAAACCTGGCCTGAAAATGTCCATTATGTGTCTCCTGTGGCTGTATCTATTTAAATCCATGTCAGCTGTTCACTTTTCATTTGTCCTGCACTTATTTGCGCACTGTGGCTTATCATCAAAAACATTCTGATCACAATTCAAAACCAAACCATCTAAAAAAAGCAGACCTGGACAACCTGACATAAATGTATTCAAAATCCATTTTATATGTTTTCCTCATTCAAAGGTCCTGACGTTACTGGATTTCAATCAGATATTTGACATTTTTGATTCAGCGACTGGTGATCTAGTATCCTCCGAGATCATTTAAATGGGGGAGAGGAGGGGAGTAAATAGACACGGAAGAGAAAATGGGATGAAACAAAAAGGCAGCCAAAATATTTTCTCAGTATAAATAAACAGTGAAATCCTTGCTGGTGATATAAGACGTTTTCACTGGGCGAGCAAATTGAAGGAGCCCAAGACGGAGTATGAGAGACAAAAGATCAGCTTACATCAAACATTACACATGCGCTCACGGGCAGATACTGTACAAGACACAAGCTTTACACAGACTTCAAAGACATCTTACAGAATCCAGATAAACAGTGTTGTACAGAAAGATGTTACGACAACCACGCAAACCCTCTAAATCTCAACTTCAAATTAAATAATATTTACTTATCGTAAAACTTAATTCAAAGACAATATGCCATGACTCAAGAGATTTCTGTGTGTCTTTACACTGTTAATACAAAACCTTCTTGTTTGATCTTCAATCCCTTTCACTGGCCTATACTTTTCTCACTGTGTTGCTTCCACCTCTCTCACACTAAACCTTCTCACCCCAGTAAAGCTGTGTGATGACAGGGTGGAAGAGGAGGATAATGAAAATACAGGCACTGTGGCAGGAGAAGCTAAAAGCAGGGAACCAGGAATTGATGCCGTTGCAGAATTACAGAGAGCACTGACACTGCCAACAGAAAGCCGAGCACGTAGGTGGTGTTGCAGAAGCTGACACTGACCGTATGGAACCAGAACTTGACAATTGGAGCGTTGTAGAACTCGTATATCTTGCGTCCCAAGGGGATGAGGCGGTGGCGTTTCTGAACCTCCTCAACATCCTTCTTTCTGGATGTCTCTGTGGCTACCTTACCCAGCATTGCCTGCCACATGGAGCGAGGCAGGAAGGAGTGAAAGGTGTAAGGGATAAAAAGAATCAAAGAGTGGGAAGAGGGACGTGTGATGGATTGGAAAGGCCGAGTAGGATGAGCAGGGGAAGATGCAGAAAGAGGACGGAGATGAAGAAAAGTATGTGGGAGGTGGGATGGGAAGAGTCGAATAACAAAGAAAAAAGGAGAAAGGGGAGAGGGTTACATTATGGCTACTGCACAGTTTTAATATCAAAGTCAAAGAAGCAAGCACAGCCAATGTCATCATTCCGAAATGTGAAATGTGTGTTTGAGGTGGAGTGTTGGGTGAACACTGGTAACACAGTATGACGCAGACACTCATGGATTGTGTCTCAGACAACAATTAAGAGACAGAAGAGAGACAAGATAATGACAGAAAGAAGACAGAAAAAGAAAAAGATAAGACATAGATATTTCATTTCAATCTGTGACACATTTCCTTATCCATGAGAGAGGGTTCGGAGCCCACTGTTTTTATGGGTCATGGTCTTAATGTCAAAGCAACACCAGACCCGTGAGGGAGTTCATTCAGGGAATTGTATTGTATGTCAGGGGGTGGATCTCTCTCTATATATATATATATATATACTGCTCTAAAAAGGCAGAATGCAGTAAATACCTATTACCTAACTTCAAAGCGGACCTGAACACCAAACACACAATATCTGAACTTTGGCTGTGTAGTTACTGCGTCTGCCTGTGGTTATATATACCGTCCATCTTGCAGTTACTGCACTCTGGATTGATAAGCTGTGTGCTGGTAGGACTCGTTGCAGCATTTACTGCACTCTCTGCTGTGGAAAGAGTGCTAACTAGACAGCTTAACTGAAGTACGAGGGCTTTATAAAGGGCAACAACTAAGTTTAGTTATGGATTTTCCCCGAAGTTGCTGTCTGTAAATGAAAAATATACATTTTGATGAACTGACATTTTGGTTACTTAGTATGTTATTCCACACAATTAAGACTGCAGCATAAAAAACAGCTAAACTCCTGCTAAAGCTAGCTAGCTTAGCAGATCTTCGTAGCTGCCATGTAATGTTTGACTCTAGTGAATATTATGTGATTTAGTGTAGTTAAGCTATCTTTAAATCACATATTTATATCTAATAAATTAATGTATTATATTGATTTAAACACATCATATACGTAATATAAGTCTTAAAAGTACTCAGACAGATAGAAACTTGGCCAAACACTGAAATATTTGATTGTATTCTCTATATGATAGAGTGCTGCAAGGATGACATGTTTTGTAAGTCAACCCCGGAAGTTAGCATCTCACAAAGAAATGGCTCATTCCAGCAGCACTCTACAATTTAAAACTAAAGGTAATCAAACACTAGTTAAAACGGATAAGAAAGCTGAGAGAACATATTTTATTAGTAGATAGTTTTTAGGTATTGAATAGTTTCTAGGCAATGTTTTTTGGGGTAAAATAATCAACCCAAAAAGCGTAGAATGAAAGCATTACAAACCTTTTATCTGTTTGCCATCCAGTCTGAACACTTTTAACCCTTTCTCAACTTCCCTGTGTTGTTACTGCACTCTGCCTTTGTAGGGCAGTCGCAGACCTGGGCAAAGATAAAATGTTTGAAACTCTGTCAAAATATTTGAAATTTATAATGAGGAGTTGGTTGAAGTTCCCAGGCCACTGAATAGATACAATAGTGACAAAACCATCACTAAGAAATCAAAGAAGAAATCACCATCAGTAAGGAACTAATGGATTTCTATTTTTTTCCAAATAAGAAAAACATATCCAGCTTCAAGTTTTGTCTAAGGCACACACAGACAGGGCCTTCAGGGTGAAAATATGCAGATGCCAGTGTGTAAATCACACCATGCCTTTACTGTACCGAACATGCACATTATCCAATCGGCAAGTGGACAAAAGCTATCGCACAAGCTACAGCATTCATCACAGTGTGGTTTATCTAAAGCATCTGAGGATAAAACAATACAATCTCCCTCTGTGGTGTAGCAGTCTGTGTATATCTGTATGAATCGTTGTGTGATTCATAAGTATCTGAAGGTGCATTTGTACAGTCAGAAGCCAGGGCAATAGTAAGGGGCTAATTGCAAATGCATTCTCTAGCAGCAAGGTCTTTTGTTTAACACCACTGTGCCTCAAGGACTGCGTGTGTAAAATCGCCCATTTGCGCTGGCTTGCTGGCTGTGCTCAATGCAGATGGAGAGTATGTACAGGGGTGCTGAGGGGCGTTCAACTTCAGTTCAATCATTTAATGGAACAACCTTAGGTCCAGTTTATGTCTTAAAATTGTGTTAAAATTCCAGTCGTCCTTTAACACACAAATTGGATCTTGGTATCATCTCCAGAATTGATTGGATTGAAATGCAACGCGTCCTAATCCTGCTGTACATCCATGTCTATGCAGATGGACCAACTCTTCCACTGTGAGCCGGGAGAAGGTGCTCAGACTCTGCATGATTTAAGCTCTGCAGCAGCAGGCGGACATGGTTATATAATGCAAAAGCCTGGGCCTCCCATGCTCAACAGCCGACATGCTGAGTGGTATGCTGCAGCAAGCCATCATCATGATGGGAGAGAGTGAGGGGCAGCAATCGGCTAGCATACAGTACTGTACCTCAATCAGAACTGAGCTTGGAGAGAGGGAGAAAGAGAAAGAACTAGAGAGAGAGAGAGGGAGCTGAAAGGAGCAAAGAGAGCGCTGGGCAGAGAACAAGAGGGACCATATGAAAGGCAGAGAGAAATAGAGGAGATAGATGGAAGAAGAAACATACACGAGGGAACCCACAAGCGGCGACAGACTGAGACGCTACAACTCCACGACCATGTCTTTGCTGAGACGACGAGAAACAGGAAAGGTCTATTTGGCTGGAATGGGTCCAGCTGGCCCGAATAGAGAAACAAGTATGTGTGTGTAGAGAACTGTGTGCGTATTTGTGTGCGTATCGACATGTCATTGTGGACATAAAACTGGTCCACGAGAGATATTTACAAAGGACACAGTATCTGGGCTATGTATTCAATGATCAGTTTTATAGTCTTAACAAAGCAAGTGTGTATTGTCTAAAGTTTGAATATGTGTATAAATTCTGAGATGCAGGGCTGAGGTGGGTTCTCTCACCACGGAGTTGTACTGCGCCTCACAGTAAGATCTTACTGTGAACTCCATGTCTTCCTCCTCCTTCTCCTTGACTGGTTTCTCAGGCTCCTCCTCCTCCTTCTCCTGCAGGTAGGCCTCCTGATCCTGGGGCATGTAGGACATCTCATCTTTGTTCTTGAACTCCAGACTAAGGATGGATGGCGGCAGAAGCAGCCCTAAGATTACCTGGGTGATGAGAACGACAGAAAGTGAAGGAGGAGGAGGATGGAAAGTTAGGGAGAGGAGCTGGAAGCGACAAATCACAGATGAGATAAAGGTGTACAGTTATCTGAGTTCTGCTGTGGAAATTAGGACACACGGAGTCTCGAACAAACCGACCTTCATAATTGGTCTGCGACACACACTTTAGAAACTCACATAATGAAAATGTACCGACATGAACACCTCCCCATCATGCCCCGGCTAAAAGCTTTGGTATTTAAGACAACCAACTAAGTGTTCTCATTACTGAAGTCAATTACAAAAGCATTAGTCCAGACAGGATGCAAGGTTGCTTTGCTGCCACAATGTATGAGAGGGACACACACTTCAGACACAAACCAGGCAACCATGGAAAGCAATAGAGAGGCTTTTAATGCAGAGGGAAGGTGAAGAACAAGGGAAAGAGAAGTAGATGTATAGCTGTGCAATCGAGTGACTTCTTATCACTGGAAGCAGCTGTTTGAATAATTTAAGAGTGAAATTAAACTGTTTTCATTCCATCGACTACTGGCTCAAACTTGGAACGGAAATGTAAGCAATTTAATTTTACACGAATACCACAGCACAGAAACTGATGTCTCAGCTTCTCTCGTCAACAGGAGTCAAAAGCAAAGATGTCAGTAATGTGTCATACTTATTGATGTGAGAAGTAATCAATATACTCATCTTTGCAATTCATAGTCCATCTGTAGCCTTCAGTTACCATGTTCTGATATGAGTTAGCGTGTTGGAGGGGAGCACATGGCTGCCCTCACAACTATAGCTACTCAGAAATGTGCACACATATTATCTTGACAACATTTTGACAACGTTATTTGCTGTATGTATCATGAACTCTTGGGGGCACCGAATCTTGTTTGTTCCACTCGTGGTTTCCTTTCTGTCTTTCTGCTTCAATGAGCTTGCTTTAGCAGCGCCCTCTCTCCCTCCCTCCCTCCTGCAAAGGCCAAACCACACTTAAAGCACTGTGTGCCCTGCTCCGTGAAGCTAGCCATCCTGTCTCACTCTATGTATGAATGAGTGTGAACCCAGGCTTCCCTTCAGCAACTCCCAGGGCAACTCTTCATTATAAATAACTCTAACCTCTCTGATCTCAGCAGCTGCCTCCTGTCACCCTCCTGCCAGACGTCTGGAAGACCCACATGAGCAAAACTTGCTCAAAAGTCAACCACCAGTCTTCACCGAAACCTCTCCCCTCGTCTCAAAGGGATGTTTACCACACAAGCCTCCATATGAAATATGTGGGAATTTGTTTGAGTAATTAAGGTCAGTTCTTCTGTCCCCTTTGGCTTGAGAAAATACTTTTTAGGATTATAAATGAAGTTGTGGTGGAAGTTCAACCAGGAGGGCAACTGCGCCCGACACACACTCCTAAAGTTTCTCTTTCCTCTGGCGAATCCTCCTCCTCTTCCCTGTCGTCTCAAGATAACTTGACTGCATCACAAGACACTTGAGGTGTCACAGTTGAACTTATCTTACCTCGATAAAAACACCTGCATTCATCTGTTATCAACATTACTCTGTTGGTCTCTTTGATTGAACTGAACTGCGTACCATGTACTGGTTGAAACTTCTGCTGCCAGGCTTTTAATGGGCAACAAAAGCATCACAGTTCATTTCAATGTTGTACTTAAAGCACAACTTGCCCCAGAATATACAAAAGATCATATATGTGTATATTATCACCTCTTTACTATTTCACTATGATGTTGTTATTGATATGCATTGTGATGTTCTGTTTAAATAGTTATTTTATTGATTTTACTTTTGCTTCATTTATTTGCTTTAATTGTCTTGTGAAGCACTTTGTGACATCTGTTCTGAAAAGTGCATTATCATTACTTGTGTTGTGTCTTTAAGGCTTGAAACGCAATAAAATACTTTAGTGACTGAGAGCACACAGCTTCAGGTACAGTATTGAACAACTTTCTGATATCAACCAAACTGCAGGATTTAAAATCTATGTTTGGTATAATATCATTTTAAACAGACTGAGCCTGGTGACCTGTCCAGTTCAGTGCATTCTTGGGAATGAGTGATCTTGGTCAAACCACAGTTATGACCAGACAGATTAGTATCTACTTTCATTTTTCCACCTGTACGGTTTGGATCGTACATGGCATAATAGGCATTTCTTACCGCAATTTCTCTATACTATCAGCCAACATATGTACGTATAGATTTGTACTAAGCTGATACTGGGTGGCCTCTGCTTTTAATAGAGGCACATTATGTCCAAAGCAATGTAAAGTTTTATCATAAATGTTCAACAGAAAGGTAAACATCAATTCTCTCCTCTAGCTTCACATCCGCACATTTCCACACATCACACCTGGTAATTGTCATGTACAACCACTCTCCACATTTCTGTGAGCCAATCAGCAGATCCACAGGAGTGATTTAGGCTGCCTCTATGGTAGTTTCTCAGGGGGGTAAGTGGGTTTCTCATTACTTTCCCTTCCCAACTTCTCTTAGGCAGTCTGAAGGGATTCAAGAATTCCGATACAGCTCTGCCTCTCGAAGCCTGAAGTCACTGTGAAGTGCACAGACCATTTATACAATGTAAGTATGTGTTTCTTTACCTGCAGGTTATCCCAAACATCTGTCTCACTTCTATTACCTTCAGGCCTGAGTTCTTGCGCATGCGCAGGCGTCCCATCCACATGTCGGTCAGAAGCATCTGACTGCAGGTGTGAGCGATGAAATCTCTGTGTTTGGCCGCTACCGCCAGCTGCAGGCAGGTGGCGTTGCTCCAGTTCTTCAGCTCGTACGTCAGCAGCTTCATGGCCATCTGCTCATCCTGTTTATAGGACTGGTCTAGGAGTTCCACTGCCAGCTGGGCAAACTCTCTGGGAAATTATATGCAGGACATATACAGGCACACTGAGACATGAACAGAGACAATGACATACTTTGTCTAAACATGTAAAAATGTAATGAATCTGGTCAAGGAATCAGTGACCATCTGGCCAAATTTTGAAGGAGGTTAGATTATTTGCATACAAATACTTGCACACACACACACCAATACAACACTTTGCATATTAACACAGAACATGGGCATGGTCAAGGCCTTACATGACAAGCATATCTAATTCCTTTAGTCGATGCAGACACATGTTTACAGCAAAGACAGCCAAAATTCTCCCTGGTAATTATGTCTGTATCTTTTCCAAGGTGAGTGGGGTTGTTCAAGTTTATAACGTGTGTATACTGCATGCTGAACAGAGGAAGCTGTGTGCAGATTTCAAAGTTACGATTACAGAACTACAGAGATAATATGACATAATTATTTGGGGAAAAATCTGAATATGGGGCTGTAATGTGGCCATCACACACATATACATATACTCGCACTATCAAATTTTCAAAACTGCAAAGCACCACCCCACCAGCATTTTAATACATCCCCTTCCAGACAATAAAAACGTAAATCAGTGCTCTGAGATCAAGTTTCACCCTAATTTCAGCCTCTGAAAAACACACAGCACAATATTGCACACTACACTGGAAAGCAATCTGTCCTGTGTAGTTTAATGTCACTAACATGGCCGGGGTTTGGGAGATTTACAAAACAAGGGCTCACAATGTCTTGATGCACAGCACATGACAAAGTTCAGCAGAGTTGTACGAACGACTGAAGGTGTTTCTGTTTCTCTGAGAGGCTTTTCAAATGACTTATATGATATATATCAAGAAATATAAAGGTGAATATTCCAAACGTGTATACAGTTTGTTTGCAAGTGCCTCGGAAGACCAACTCCCTACAGCATGTAGGAATTACTGTATGAACTTCCACACATTTTACTTTTCACACGTTCACAAAAATATCCCTCGAGTTTATCCAAACACACACAGAAATGCGTTTACAAACACTGCATATGTAAAGATTACATGAAGGTATAAAAATGTATGTAGATAAATGAGCTCTGCTGAGGAAGCCAGACAGATTCTCTGTGGAAAGTAAACTCAAAATGTGTCGCTGTTCTTTGAAAATGTGTGTAAGTATGCGTGTGCGTAGGGAGTTTTGGTTGGTGTGGCTGTGCTTCATTTCCAGTATCTAAAAGAGTTCCCCCTAATTAACAGTCATTTCCATATCCAGCATTTTTATCTCTCTAGGTGATTGCCTTCATCTCAAATGCATATCCTAAACTTACGAAGATGCATGTTACAAGATTTTTGGATCCCATAGGAGCCTAGAGTAGTCTGAAACAGGTTAGTTTAGAGGGAAGAAGGCATGTTAGTGTGTTCGTGTGTGTATCTGCACACAGGTGATGGAGTGTGAAGGTATACGTTCCCGTCTAGACTCGCCACTCGACTTCGCATGAATCATTTAGTGCAGAAATGTTTCTGTGAGAGAATTCGTGCTCAGCACTACAAAATCACACGTAATTGAAATATCGCGACAGATGGCACATATTTCGTTTCACCCACCTGGAGTTGTGGTTTAATTCCTGGGAGATGTCATCCACCATGTCGTTCTCTGAGGCTTCGTGTGCCATGGCTTTACAAAGCTTACATGCTACCAAGGCCTTGGCCATGGCCTCTTCCCCGTGCTGCCAAAAGAACAGCGCCATCTTCTGACGTTTCATAAGCACGGCCCACACCATAAGCTCGTGGAAGGGGAAAGGGAAGTGATTGATTTCGGGGTCGTCCAAATCGATGTCTACTTCCTCCTCTCGTTTGCGTGTCGTCTTCTGGCGGCCTCTGCGGATGGGCATGTCATCCTGCAGATCCAGAGCAAGTTAAGTGGGGGGGAAAGAGAAGGAGACGGCCATGTTGATATACGTATTTTGGAGTGATTTGTTATGGATGATGTTTATTACCAGAACAAGATTAGGAGTGTTTTAAATTGATGTTTAACTATTTATGTATGTATTTATGTAGCCTTGGGTTCTGAATTCGAAAAGAAACCCAAGAATGTGGATCGAACCCTTGGCTTTATCTCTGAAGGACTGGCCCTGTGTTTGGCCACATAAGTCTAATGTCTAATTGCTCGCCCTCCACATGATGAAAGTTAGTTGAATGCAGAAGCAAATTCCGACTTTGGTGGACTAAGGTTGAAGGACAAAGTGCTACACACAAAATATACATAACAGGCATGGTCTTTTACACTTTTTAATAAAATCTTCTCGTAGGATTTTACTTTTTATGTCTCCAGGTTGACTCCCTGTCTCTGGAGAGATTGACACTGCCAGTTAGTGTCTTCATGGCATGTCAGCAGGGCAATAATTTCACATTTTAACAGTTGAGGACTACTGACAGTTGATCAATTACAGAGGTCTGAGAAATGACCTTCAGTGGTTTTTACAATTGCTGCTTGCTTTCAGACAGATTACCTGGACATGATAACAGTGTAGTAAATTACACAGTAATACTAGAAAGCAACACTCCGTTTATAGCAGTTTGTGATTTTATGGATATTTAGAAGTTATTGCATAGTCATATATGTATGGCTACTATGTCCAGGTTGCCATACTGATTAAATGATAAACTGGAATACAAAAAGAGAGCAGGGCATTGAGGTAATGACTTTGACAGACACACACTAACAGGGAGACGCATTTCAAAAAGGCAGACATACAAAGGAATGGACAGCCATGCACATTAGATATAAGTACCTCTGAGAAAACTGTAGACACATACTGTTGTAAAAGCTTTATGATTTAGATACTTCATGGTTTGTACACCATGGATACACGGTAGTACACAAACAAGGTATTATGTAAACCCAGTTAGGTCAGCCATTACCAATTCAGTTCAATGTAACTGGGCTGCTCTGACATGTGTTATACAAGTTATATACATTTATACTGTCTGGAACCATGAAGCAGTTATGTAGTCATACATTTTTGTTTATTTTTTCATATCATAAATCTGAGAAAAAAGGAAATTGAAAACAAATTTGTACAAGGTAGTGTGAAATGTATGAATAATGTTATCTGATGACGAGCCTTCAACTGGCTCAAACGTGTATACAGATTGCCAGCAAAATAAAATACGCCTCGAGGTCTTCCTTTCAAAGACAGCAAGGCACACAGCACACACTTGACGACTACTTTTGCTGAAAAGGTCCCGCAGAATGACTATACAATCAACACATTATGAGGGAAAAGAGTGCGTTTTAAAACGAGGGAGAGGAATAGTGAAGAAATGACTGAATAACAATCTCGATGAGATCAACACTCACCTCCATCCCCAGCAGTTTCAGGGCTTTGGGCTAGAAAAGCAACAGAAACATAAACAAGCAGAACAAGACCTTGTCTAATGTATTTTATAGAGTAATTTACTCTATAAGCACAACACAGCACACAGATTGACAGACAGACTCACTCACACGAGACCAGAAATCTTCTATTATACGGTAAGTCACTCACTTTAAGTTTAATGGTGTTCTTTAAGAATAGCAGTTTGGTTCTGTTGTGATTCACAGTCTGCTGTACATACAGCAACAATCTCTTACGGTTGCAAGTTTGCATGTATTAAAAGCAGAATGTAGTTGTGCATTTGGTACAGTACTGTGTAGCTCTATTAAAGCAGGGCATGTCTGCATTATGCATTCATGAGCCATCATCTGAGTTGGTAAAAATAGCTCAGGTCTCCTGTTGGGATTTTGATATCTGCATCTATTTCAAGGCTTTGTTCTGAGTTAACGTGTGTGTGTGTGTGCGCGTGTGACTATGTGATCGCACGTTTATATCATCTACAAAATCACAGTAAATTGGAACTCTCTCTCTCTCTCTCTCTCTCTCTCTCTCTCTCTCTCTCTCTCTCTCTCTCTCTCGCTTTATCTGCGTCTGTCCAGCTGCTTTGTTGCTGTCATTGCAGACATACAATGTGATAAACAGGCACATGAATACTCACATACACACACACACACACACTCACAAACACACATATTCAAACATACAAACACAAAGGTGCACAATCAAGCAGAATTATGGTGTTTCAGACACAGCTGTGTATACTTCTATTTTCATCACACCTGTGGCGGTGTGTGAGGTATTGAGGCAGAATGAGAGAATTATACATCAGACCATGAACATAGACTAAATGATGTGCAGTTTGTGTGTTGTAAAAACACACAACTTCCAAATACTACAGCACATGATTGCAGTGATCAGTTCCTCCACTTTTGGTTGAAGGTGTGCTAATCAGCGAGATGAATACTGCAGTAATTGATATGAAGTGTGTATATTATTGGGGTTATGATGGCACATGATGAAGAGCCACTGCTATGAATGATTTGTTGCATCGTGTGTCTACATGATGGCGACATGGAGAATAACAGGAGGACGACTTTTATGTTCGACCTCTGCTGATGAACACCACCTTGATTGGAGGTGATCATAATTTGTGTGGAGTTAGTGACAATGAATTCCCTAACGTAATGTTTTCAATGCGATCTTTTGTAATGGTGTAATTTTGGATATAGGTTTATATTCCCTCCTAATGCTACATTAGCTAACCTAATCTAAACAAAACAAAGCTCAGAATCCACTTGCAGTATAAAAAACAAATCACATTACAGTATGTAGTTTACTCACTTTTGCCATCCCTCCTCCAAAACATCAAGTATCACACTTGTTTAGGCCTCCCGCTCATTCGGTCAGGTCACAACTAACCTGCACATGCTAATTTATTACTCGCATCGGCAAGGTCTGTCTTTGAGTACACGGGCCCTGGTTAGTATTTCATTCATTTCATTATAAAACATAATTTGGCCGTATTATTCATCTTGCTCTTATCAGGGCTAATTTGATCATGAGGCTCATTTCACTGATACTGAGTCCTTTGAATAATGACATAAAAATAAGTCCCAGACATCAGTGTTGAAATGCATTAAATGATGAGATGAGAATCATTCACTCACCCTCTTGGGTCCAAAGAGGTTGTGGTACAGAGTTCTGAATCTCTTCCTGGTGTAGTTACACCGATATGCCCCGCCCATGAGGTATTCTATGACCAGTCCAATGTCGATGAGGCTGATGCGGTAGTCCGGGGGCAGATTTCCCTAGAAAACCATACAGTGTTAACAGGCAACAACCCGAGCCACTTGATTAATAAACAAGAGGGATAAAGTGTACAAAACATACACACTCACTTCACAAAATCCATATCAAAGTGTTTTTGGCTATGAAAGAAAAACATGATTATCTGATTCACCTTGAAGTAGATCCAACTGAACCCTGGATATTCTCGCTTGGAAAGAACACACAATGTCAGTGAGCAAGAGCAGGGGAGATGAGACACACAGAAACTCTCAGGCAAGATCTCTCTTCCAGCCTCTTTAATAAATTGTCATCTCAACCAGACTGTGGTTCAGTTTATGTTTTTGCACTTTGTATTCTTTAAAACCATTTGTATCCTGGTTCGAATCTAGAAATCTGGAGCTATTCCTCCAGTCTTGTGATTGGTTCAACCAAAAACTGGTTACAGTCTCAGGTGTGGTATTATTCCTGAAAGCTCTCTTGAACATGAATCAGTAAAGCACCAAGCTGTGACTTGTTCTCTTACAGGGGAGTAGAAAGTGAGAGGAGAATCAAAACTCAGGTGCAATTTGATTCATAGAGAAAATACAAAGACAATTAAAAAGGGCGTAAAGAAAACAATGATTTGTTATAATTGCATTTAGGGAAATAATGAGATCTTCTCAGTGAGGTTCAATGCAGTCTTGAAGAAAGGAAAAGAAAGAGAGAGTGGTTATGTCTCTTTAGCCTGGAAAGACAGACAGCTATTAACGCTGCAAGCTAGAATCATTGTTGAAATAGAAGCTCTTTCACGTCAGGGAAATAACTATGTCAACTCTCGCGGCTCCTCCTTGTGCCCTCAACATCAACCCCAGATGCTGCAGTCATTATTCTGACCCCCGCTGTTCCTTTGAGATACACCAATTACCTTACATATCTTTACACCTCTCTCGCTACTTCCACTACTCTCCAATCAGATGTGAGATCCCAGAAACTCATCCCTATCCTGTCGTCATATCCAAAGTCTTACCACTTCATTGGTGGTAAAGTCTCGCAAAGCCCTGTAGGCCATCTGATACACTTTGAAGTAAGAGAGCCCCAGACACTGTTTGTCTTCTCGTACATCCGTGGTTCAAAGTGAACACAAAGCTTCACCTCCTCACACTCATATATATATATATATAGTTCAAAAGCACTAGTCTGCGGTCAGCCAAGCCCTCTTTAATTCCCTGTGGTAGTGAAGCTCAAGATAATAACTGTTTGTTTACACCTTGTGCGAGTACACACTGAGAGCTTAGAGCGCTGCTGTTTTTAATTCTGCAGTGCAGTTAAGTTCAAGTTGCTCTCCTGAAAAGTTCTCTACAACATAGCCACTGCATTAACGGCCAGTACTTAAAGGTGCTCAATACAGAATTCAGACAGTATAATTGCCTCCACGTGTCTCTCAACATGGAGACAACTGAGCTGGCAGCTAGCAGCTAACCAGTGGGATACAACAGAACGTCTCACATGCAATAAAAGCACACACAAGCATGGCCTGTCTATGAAACTCAGATTACAACACACAGAGGGAGAGCGACTTCATTCGTTCCTCAGGTAGACAATACTCCACAATATTTTTACATTGCAAATACTTTTTGCTGCTATTTCTGAATGTCAAATTTAGCACCTGTCTTTTTGCCAAACGTACCGAAATCTCACCAGATTATCACAAGAATGTTCCAATAAAATGTATAATGCAATATAAATTAAGTTAGTGCTCCCATGCATCAATCGTTCAGGCCCATTTCTACTTTCAATTAGCAAAGAGAGCTAAGAAGAAAAACCACCTGTTACATTCAGAGTTTCACCTAATATCCTGAGACACAAAGTGTATTGCTACCAACCTTTGTCCACAAAACTGCATTGTTCATTTACTCCGTAGGAAAACTAATTTCTGCTTTGGCAGCTTTAGTCTACAAGCCAATCTCTGTGATTTTCTGTTTTCTGACTCAGCTTTCACACAATTGAATGAATGAACTAGATTAAACCTGAGAGCGGCCTTCACCGGACCGTACAGCTGTTATTAGCACAACATCTGCATTCGAATCAAAACACTACCTGTGAAGAGTATGACAAAACAATCCACAGAGAAGAATGAGAAAGAAAACAGCGATGACATGGTGACTCAATCTGAGAGATGGCAGTTCAATCTAATTAGCATCATACTATGAAACAACAACGAGACACAAACACTCAGCTACACTACGGCAATTACACACAGCTCTGCAAAAAAGATGAGGATGTTATGCCATGCACTACGCGGTGTATGTGTGTGTGAGTGTTTTGCCTGTGTGCAAAGTAGCGTTGTGGGAGAATATTAATTGCATATTTTCTCTGCACCAACGTGAGATCAGAGTTGTGTTTAAAGACAGAAAAGAGGTAAAGAAGGAGTGATTACAACATCAAGCCTCTTCAGCGACTCCCAGAGGAGCATGCGGCGTCACTGTAATCAGTAACATTTTAATTAATGAACATATTTCAATGCTAATGGTGGTGTTGCTGACCTCTCAATCATCTCTCAACAGTGGGATCAATCCTAATTGGCATGCAGACATGTGCTGAATTTAAAGTTCTTGGTTTCTGCATTTTATTGCAGTAATCATCAAGATGCTATGAGAGATGTGCAGCAAAAAACACTGTAACACTTAAAGTGTTTTGGCTTAAGTGCAGCCAAAACCTATACATAGAGAGAGGATTCCACCATTTCAGCGTCTTATACATGTAAAATTCACAGTCCTGATGAAAAATAACATCTATGCTATGTAAGGGAATGTGCAATATCACTATTCAAAGAATCAGATGATACTGCTTGCTAAAGGAACACACTTAATACTGTTTTTAATTAAAACAAATAAAAACAGAGATTCATAAATTGTGTCTACTGAGTTCTTCCTTCTCAGCCTCACAGCTGTTCCACTGCGGCCTCAGTTTGCTCAAACTTAAGCTCTGTGGATAAAGCAGTTTTTAATGCATGTAGTGTTTGTGTACCATGATAGTGTGTGCCTTAGAGAAAGCACAGAGTAAATTGCTGAAAAGTCATGAGAGGGATGAGAGTCGTGCATAGCTCTACACAGCCACTGCAGCCCGCAACTCCAGCTGAAAGAGAAATGCCGGCCTCTATTTGCAGTATCAGCAGCTAGGGCTACCAAAATGTAGACACACTAATTGATGCAACACACAACGCAAAAAAGCAACTGAAACTATTTAGTCAAATGTGTCTTCTTTAATACACACATTCAAGCCAACATTCCCATACAGTGTGCCTGAACAGCCACAGAGCTAAAGGGACGGCGGTGATGGTCTTACCTTTTTGACATCTCTGACGAGGTGGTACAGCGTGTTGGACGGTCCATGTCTCTGTTGAAAAACAAACAAACACAACACATAAGTATATTATTACCATCACCGACAGTTCCTTCGGACAAAACTGACCCTGCCAGCAATATTGTTCAAAACCAGCACCATGTTTTCTTTTTTTTTTTTGCATAATTAAGTCAATATTTTAGTCTGACACTGTTCCCTGGTGTGTTGCTAAAAGATAACACAACTAGTATTTACAAACCATTGAATGTGCATTTTTTATTACCGTATTGTAGAGCTCCTCCAGTCTGGAAAGCGTGAGGAAACGGTGCATGCTGACTCCATTTTCAATCAGCAGCTTGACAAAGTCCACTCTGTCCAGAACTAAGGCATCCAGCATCGCCTGCTCCAGGGAACCGACCTAAGGCACATGGGATGGAGAACATTGTATACCACTGATACAAGAGAACTGCATGGAAATGAATAACGATTGACCAACATCACTTACTTAAACTACAAAATGATTATTATTATAGGATTTCACAAAACATGTGAGTGGAGCCACACGTCATTATTGTATTTCTCTTCCATAGACCAAACATCCAAAATAGAGTTGAAATAAACTTAGACTCAAATTAAGCATGAAGACTGCAAGGAATGCATACTTCTCAATTATGATCACAGATAACCAGAGCAATCCTTGATTATTATTTGCAAACATTTGTCCGGTGCTGAACCTTTAACCCAGGACTGATCCTGAGCTGCCTTCTGCATCAAAATCACCTGTTAAAGCCGACAGTATCCTTTTATTTGACGTTTTAGTCATCATCTTTCTCTTTCTAATCACGTTTCAAGTTATTTTGTGTGAATGTTAAGCATTCTGAAGCGCATTTTCAGGAAACAAATCTCAGGTATGGTACATTTCAAAACTGAGGTACATTGCCAAAGACCTTTTTAGGCAAACAAACAGCATTTCTGCTGCAGTACGTTTATTGTCATTAATATTGTTTATGGTTCTTTCTTACAGGCCACTGCTGTCCGTAGATGAAGATTTGACTGCGGGCGATGTCCACTCTGTTCCAAGCCAGAGCCAAACTCAGCTGGTCAGGAGCTGAAGCGTTGGCACCTAAGAGAGGATACAAGTGTGTTGAGACACAATGTCGTGTTTTTGGTAAACAAGGTTGCTTAAACACTGATACAAATTCAGAGATTCAAGTTTAGAACAATGTACAGTACTAGTATTCATTAGCTGCTGCACTTTGTTATTTTAACGTTAATAAAGACCTTAAGTCATGACTGCTCATCTTATATTCTCTTTGCGTGCTTGTATACTCATTTTCCCCTGCTGGATGCTATTTCATATCGCTCAATGTTCATCTGGTAGACAGAATCAATATAGATTCCATATTCAAGATGGAATACTTTATTGCCACTTTAACATGAAATCGCTGATAGGAATTTGGTTTGGTTAGCTCACACTAAACTAAATCCTCACATCACATACAGTAACTGCCTCAGGACGTAAAAACCAGCAGCACCACCATGTAAAACAAGTGTTCCCATGGAGATGCTATCAGCACCACAAACCAGCTGTGATGTATACCATTGTATGCATACCCTTACTGTGTCTTATACAGAGGAATAATTACTGTGCATCCGTTATTTAGGAGTTAAGGCCATATACTGCCTCTGGGTAAGTGCTGTTGCAAAACCTGGCTGCTCTGGTTATAATACTTTTCAGTCTTTTAAAAGGTTGGGATAAGGTTAAAAAAAAGATAATTTGGAAGGGTGACAAAAAGTCTTGGATGATCTTTAGTCCCTTTTTTCCATAGTGTAATGGTGTAGGTTTCAGCAAGGAGAGGTAGAGATCCTTGTCTATGATTCTTGATGCTGTGAGTATCATTTTGTCCTGAAGTTTCCTGTCTTATGCTGAAATGTTTCCATACCACACAGTTATTCTGAAGGTGAAGATATGTGGATATAACATACTGAACATTAGTCAGTACTGCTGTAGAGTTGTCTTATCACTCTAAAGAAGAGGAGATTGTTACACTCCAAAATTTGTAGAACTGTACTTTGAATTTCCTGACAATTTACTTATGACCAAAGGTTTGACGGCCGCTGTGGCTGTGATGGGAGTCCACCAATACTTTTGTTTTGAAATGTACTTCTGGGTGTGAGATATCTGATGGTGGTTGAGCTGCAGCCTCTTCACTTATGTAGAGTGACTTCAGAATTTGACCTTAAGTCACTCTAAATCAGAGAGCAGAATAACTGCAACATTCTGCAGCATGACCATACACAAGAGGATCCTACAATCACTTTTCATTGATAACTGTGAGTATCTAACTCAAGAGATCTCACCCAGAAAATGTGTACATTCATCTGGCATGCCCATAACAACATCACTACGTGACTAACTTAATCAACACTTTTAATGGCACACGCCGACTAGTCTGCCTTTAAAGCCTCGTTGTGTATACACACGCATATGCGACCGTAGTGTAGATTGTTTATGGCCTAGCGTTCACTTTTTACTTCTGCCGATTGCATTTGCGTTTAAAAAATGATTGGCGTTCATTTGTAAACAAAATGGGTAAATATCATAAACTTGTGTTTGCCACAAATCTTATTTTGTACACTAATCTGAAAGCCAATGGAAAAATCCCATTGGCTTTTTGTCAAGAGAACCAGTGCATTGTTGACTTTTACAAAAATCATCCCTGCAGCACTCTAAAGCGACATGACTCACAGTAGATTCATCACACTTTTCCCAAGCAGCTAAAAACATCAACAAAAGATCTTCAGTTTCTTCAGCTGGTAATCGAACAATAATTCAGCATGGTGAGAAATATACTCCTAAATCTTTATCCAAACACGGTTTTCAGCAGTGGTGCTCTGGAAGTCTATTTCTCTCTCTCAGTAGTGGAACTCCCTATGGGCATCCCTTGGCAAGGCGTCCATGCTCGCCAAGGTAGCGATAACCCGATTTGTTCAGGTCCTATGCCCTGACAAATAAGCTATCCTGACCCTAACTACTTAAGGTCAATGCTTTACCTTAACCAATACGCTCCGCCTCAACCAGCTACGCAGGGTGGGTCTTGCTACGAAATGCAGTGGGATTCATAATAACACATCTCTCACCTGTTCTTCTTCTGCAATTGTGCCATGGCTACAATTTTAGACGACCCTCTACTGACCATGACAAAAACTTAATTAGATGTTAATCTAATGTGGGTCACATTTGCATTTATTCATTTACATTAACTGACGAGCAGGCTGGCTAGCAAGGCATTCATGTCTTATTTTTAATTCTGCGGAAAAGCTTGTGCAGAGCCTCTGCAGAGCTGCAGAGATTGGTTTGCTGAGCTCGCAGAGAGCTGCAGGGACGCGCCGTGGACCTCCTGAAAACTGTGACTAACGCGTCAGGAACACGCAGAGCGCATTGGCACACAGCCGCAGGAGTATCAACCAGACATGCAGATCATGATGCAGACTCATCGCGTGATCTAAACGTGTAGAGGGGAGGATGGGAATACCAGAAATACTCACAGTGACATGACTAAGAACATTTTAAAACAAATCCAATCTGAATTTAAGACAATTTAATACTTTTTCAGGCCTTTTATTAGTAGATGTGTATTCATTAAGCCATTTTAAGGATCTGCTTACCAGCCTGATAAACACAGACAAAAAAAAGACTTTCTGGACAGATCTGATTAATGAAATAAAGATAAGACAAAAGTCTTGGATGGCATTGCTGAAAGAAGGCATTCTTCATCTTTTTCTCTCATCTTCACCTTTCTCATCACTGTAATAGCTTTGCTGCATGCCATTGCTGTTTGGTAAAGGACATATTGTCGGATGTACATCTGCTTACTTTCTCACAATGCAGGGCTGGTTTGTTTATTGAGCGTTTTTCTTTAAAATTATACGTGTTAACCTGCAATTATTTTTGCACACATCTTTAGTTTTATTCAAACACCCTGCAAAATGTAAGAAAATTATTATGATGGGGTTTATGATCATCTTAGCCCGAAAAAAGACTTGTGAGATATGGCCCAAGTATGTACAGTAATATCTCCTTCTTTACGTACAGTATGTCTTAAAGGAGCATATACAACAGTGATACAGTATTTATTGTACGTGATACGTCTCAAACACTTCATCCAACAGACAAAAAAATAAGAGGCAGTATATAAGAGACAGAGGACAATACATATAAAACCAAACCTCTCTTTTCAGAACTGATTAGAGCTGTATGCTCCGATGTAAAATAGCTTCACTGTAAAATGCTATTGAATATGCTGCAATAAAATACTGTTTTCTATCTTAGTGGCACTTAACCAATTAGATCAAACAGAAGCACAGTCTGCTGTTCACATTAATAATTTACCTGCACACCGGGAGGAGTTAACCAAAATGAGAAAGATGAGGCAACAATTCATCCCGGCCTTTAGAGAAATCCCCTGTTATATAAAGTATAATAATAATCCCTTGTGTTTAGGCCAGTCGGTGTAATTTTTAATAAGCACAAAAGTATCATGACTTTACACCATGCTCTCTCCATCTTAAAGCACTGCACAGCATTACTGGAGCTTAATTGTGTGAGTTCAGACAGAGCCCCGCTAATAAGATCCAGAGCCTATAATAAGAGCTTTAGTGGAGATAACTGTATGTGTAAAGGCAGGGTGGCCTTGCTTTATTAAAGGCTTGTGGTTTCACTCAGTCTGCCTACAGGGAGGTTGAACTGTAGCCAACTGACTTTATGGACCCAATCGTCAAGATATTGACTACTTCAGGCAGCGGACCATCAAATACTCTAAACTCCCCTCTGTCACACCATGTGTCTTTTGCTGCCACTTCTCTAAATCTCTCTCTCTCTCTCTCTCTCTCTCTCTCTCTCTCTCTCTCTCTCT